CCTTCTCTTGCTTGATCTCCATGTGAAAGTTGGAGTTCACCGAGTTGCTGTTGCTCCAGCTCTGAGCGCCGACTTCCTGTTTGGCTTGGTCCACACTGGGACTGATGTCCAGCGAGCCTCTAGTAATGAGCTCACTGCAGGAAGTGGCGATGTTGCTCATCTGGAGCACTGTGGCAGCCTTGAGCACATCTTGGGCATTGCAGCTGGAGACCAGCAGCTTGGAGGTGTAGATGAAGTTGAGGATCTGCTGCAGGCCTTGAGGCTTGAGGGTCTCCAGAGAGAGTTCCACGCGCCGCAGCTCCTTACTCGATGCAAACAGTGAGTGGAAGAAGGGGCTGTAGGCTGCTAGGACACCCTTATGGGCCTGGAAAGAAGTCTGGTGGTGCAGGAGGACAATGTCTACGTCACATAGATCTGGCTGAAACAGACGCTGCTTGTTCAACCTGTCCATTAAAAAGGTGCAGTGAAGGGCCACATCCTCAACGAGGGAGAACTCTGCAGATGGATGCTCGGCAGTTTTCTCCACTATGAGCTACAACAGAACATCATATTGATGTGAGATGCATATCAACTTTCAATGTTTAAATATTAGATATTGATTTACATTACAATCAAACAACAGGCTGGAGTAATTGTCATTTCAAAGGTAGCTGTCAAGCAAATGATCATTTTTAAATTCTAGTAATATAAAACTATTTCTAGAAAACAATTTATATCATGTCTTTTATGCCTTTGTATATTTTATAAAGAAGGTCACTCACAAAGAAAAAATATATTATATATTAATGACATTATAATATATAATCAATTATGTATGTTATTTACAGATTGTCTAAATCATACAGCTGTCATAATAAAATAATCCAATTATCCAGACAGGTAACCAGTGCAGATATCTAAAATTATATTAGATTATATTGTATTGTATTAGATTAGATTAGATAAAATTAGATTAGATTAGATTAGATTAAGATGATTTTTAAATATCAAACACATATTTTCTTTATAATGCCAAGCTTGATATTTTTCTTAAAATGTATAGCGTATAGCTGCTTTTATATTTTATATATTTTATAAAGATGATTTTATTATTTATATTACAATATTTTATATGCTATGTATCTGAATGATATACAGGCTTTCCAGCTATCATAATATAGTCATTAAATTATCCAGACAAGTAAACAGTGAAGATATGTGAAATATTATTATATTATAAATATATTTATTTTATAAAAACAATTTATTTTATTTATTTATTATTATAATGTATTATTATATGTCCTAGTTCTACTAGACATACCAACATTATTACACAACATTTCTCATTTAAGCTACAGTATTGTCCAAAGTCATGAGCTGGGACAGGTACACTATCAGAAAAAAAAATGTACAAAAATTGTACCTTTAGGGGTACAACATCTTGTCACTGGGGCAGTACCGGGCAACTTTCTCCCCTCTTTACCTCTAAAAAGTTCATAATAGTATCATAAAACTACATATTACTACTATATGGATACTTACTACTCTAAGGTACTAATACGCACCCTTTAGGGATGAAGAAGGTTGCTTTGAGGGTACTGTCCCTGTTGTACCCCAAAGGGTACAATTTATGCACATTTGTTCTAAGTGTAATTTATTTAGTTGAGGGCTATATTAAAATTTGAACAGATGTTCCGATAATAACAATCATTACATCAGCATCTTATCGAAAAGTAGCAGAACGTTGTAGAAGCTCTCGACAGATGTGGAAGCAGCATGCTATCAGCACATCTGCATGACATGCACATCATCCTCCAGATGTGACTGATGTCTGTCAGATTCTACAGGCCAAGTAAACATTCACAGACATGCAGGTAACAAAAACAGTAAGAGAAGGGTCTTACTACCATGCTGATTCAGTGGTCTCTGCCTCGAGGAGAACCGTCTCCCCTCCTTAGCATTTCAGAGCTTCGTTTTCATGAAAATAGCTGTCATTTATATCCACAATGCGCTCCTCTGTTTACACATCTGTCCGTTTTCGCCATGTCCGCATGCAGAAGGGCTCGCACTCTCGGCCGGGGGAGTGATGATGATTGGAGGTGGAAAATAATATGGGTCGTTTTGTCTGGAGCTTTAAAGCGACAGGGACGTGATTAAACGAGGGGGAAAACACAATTCGAAGCGTTCGGAGCTAAATTATGGTTATAAATGGCAGAATAATCGCTTAGGTAGAACACATTTTTGGATGCGTTCAAACGGTCTCCTTGAGCACCTGGCGCCGCTGCGCAGTCAAAGCCCAAGGCAGCGAGGTCAGCGAGTCCACCGCGGAGTGAACCGGTTCGCCGCAGACAGCGCTAACGCCTGCAGAGCGCCGCTGCGGCCACGCGGTGGCGCTACAACACAGCTTTTTGTTAGAGACGCTCTCATTGACGCCATCGTTAAACTCACAGCTGTGCCCGAGACGTTTCATTGATTTTTTGTTTCACCTCTACACTTGATTGCATCTATAAAAAAATGTTACTTTTCATGTTTTGAAATTGCTATTTGATATCTGACGTCTTACTCCTAACTCTTAAAATATTTTATTAACTGACTTAAAAGGTCATGCAAAAATGTTTTGTGAGACAAATCGCAATAAATGCCTTTGTTATGATCTCGGGTTTGCTGTCAGTGCAACTGTTAGTAGGTCCCTCCAGAACAATAAAACCTAGTTTATTATACCAAAAGGCAAAAGTGTTTATTAGAGACTTTATTCAAGACTTGGTGCACACGTGCCATCAAAAATGACAAAAAGACCACACAGATGTAAAATATGGGGGATAAAATGACGTATTATGTGTTGGGAGCTAACATTTAGCATATTTTAGGCCTATCTGGTAGAGTTTAGTATTGGTTTAGTGCCGTGGCTTAGTGTAGCTGTCAGATTAGATCTGCAGAGGTCAATCAATACTCAGTGTATGCTTTAGTTAATATAATGTTTTTAGGGTTTTGATGGGGAGTTCAAAAACACTGAGCAAAAAAAACAAAAAAAAAACTTTTATAAAGTTGAAAGAACACCAAAAGCTGCTCTGACGGTAAACATTGCAGAGATGTATTATATAACACAGGGACTGGATTTGAAATGCATCTTAGCTGAGTGTATTATTTACATGTTTATGTAGTTAACATTTTATGAATTCTGTATTTAGGCTAATTGATGTCACTTTTGACTTTAATAGGATTAAAACATTTATTTATTTGTAAATGCCTCACACAATAAGTCCCATGGGGCTCACTGATATTTCATTCGTCCTATAAAATATCTACAGACTAAACTCTAATCTTAACCTCTATATGAGACTGACTGTAGTTCTGTAACATACAATATATATATATATATATATATATATATATATATATATATAAATGCACTATATATATGTATACA